TTCAATTGGTACAATTGGTAATATACACTGACATCAACTTCTCGCTGGCCGAGTAGCTGATAGAGTGTAAATTAGAATCAACTTTCACATCATATACAAATAAGATATGGTCTGTCTATAGTTCTATATATCACTCTTTCTGTCTATCATTCTGTTGTTCTATCTATCTATCTATCTATCTGTCTGTCTGTCTGTCTGTCTGTCTTTCTGTCTATCTATCTATCTACCATTCTATCTATCTATCTATCTATCTATCTATCTACCATTCTATCTATCTATCTATCTATCTATCTATCTACCATTCTATCTATCTATCTGTCTGTCTGTCTGTCTGTCGTTCTATCGTTCTATGTATTGTTCTATCGTTCTATCATTCTGTCGATCGTTCTTTTGTCCTGTCTGTCTGTCTGTCTGTCTATCTATCTATCTATCTATCGATCTACCGTTCTATCTATCTCTGTCTTTCTATCGTTCTGTCTATCATTCTGTTGTTCTATCTATCTATCTATCTATCTGTCTGTCTGTCTGTCTGTCTGTCTATTCATGTAGATATACTCTATCTAATATGGACACTTTTAGCTTTTGTAAGTCAGACCATCTTTCCCTGACTCTCCTGTAGGTCATTTTGATCTGATATTGATGGCTGGGATTCAATTACAGGCACCTCTCTGACACCTTTTGAATCTCCATATTTGTTTCAGGAATGACCTTGCACTGACCCTGACGTAGGACGTGAACCGCTCTTTAATTAAGTGACATACTATAAAGAAAACTGTCATATTTGGATTATTGATCCCAGAGCTCACTTATAAAAGCTCTCTTGAATGACAGATTTGCTGTCAAATCATTTCGAGTGAAGTCAAGGAGATCTTGTCCTTCTGATATGCTGTTTTTTTTTATGATCTCTTGTGTGTAAAACTACATTGTTGTCTCATTTTGTTGTCTCAGGTCAGATATGCCAAAGGAAATAGTCCTCTGACTGCAAGGTCTCTGCAAATGGACAGACCTAAGAGGACAATGAAGTATCCATGTGCTGATTCAGACCCATTGCCCATGTCAAGTCCCGATGTCCGTGACGCCGACCAAGCTCTCCTGTCTGACAAACTCCAGCCATGTCCCGAGCAGGAGTTTTGGGACTGGGCTCCAAACCTGACGGAGACACACCCGTCTGCCCAACAATCCAGGAAACGGGTCATGGTGAAAAGAGGAAAAGCTAAGAAGATGTTCGGCTGGGGAGATTTCCAGTGCAAAGTAAAGTCCACAAGCCTCAATCTGCTCATCGCTGGGAAGATCGTGGATCACGGCAACGGAACGTTCAGCGTTTATTTCCGCTACAACACCACCGGAGGTGGAAACGTCTCCGTAGGGCTGGTTCCTCCGAGCAAAGTGGTGGAATTTGATGCAGCGGCTCAAAGCGTTCTGCACTCGGTGGACTCGAGGATGTTTAACTGCAGGGTGGAACATGAGAGGGTGGAGAGAGGTACCAAAAGCACACGCTGCTGGAACGACCCGTCTCAGAGCTGCGACCAGGATCAGACTCACAGCCATGTTTCTTGGCTCTGCTCAAAACCGTTCAAAGTCATCTGTGTCTACATATACTTCTATAGCTTGGACTACAAACTGGTGCAGAAAGTCTGTCCAGACTATAACTACCACAGCGAGTCTCCGTACTTACCTTTTGGATGATCATTTTGTCTCGTAATAAAAGAGAAATTAGTACACGTGTTTATTCTAAGATAACTGGGCAGGTTTCCATTTTGAACTGGAATAGGAAAAGTTCACTAATCGAACATTCTGTCATGATTTACTCATCAGCTGATTCTGATTCATAGTAATAATCTGTAGTAATAATCTGTAATCTTTTGATTGTGCTGGCATGAGTGTTACACAAGGGACTTCTAGTTTGGAAGACATTTTCATGCAACTGACATCACAAAACAAGTGTCAGTGAAAATGCATACAAAATCCATATTGCAACTGCATTTATTAAGACAAGCATGTCTGTATATTCATTTAAGATTGTACGGCTATTTTGGGGAGAATAATGGGATGAATCTAACTAATTTCATTATATACTAATGAATTATTTATGTATGAAAAATATTTTTTTAAGACATCCTTAGTACAGGTTTGTCTCCATGCACACTTACGAACTTCTCTGTGGCAGGTGCTGGTGAATAGGTGTCATCATTTCTGACATGGACAGAGCAAAACTTAATGAGCTCCTGTAATTGATTTTGCTTTGCTGAGATCGTGTGTCAATGGTTTTGTCATTTCTCTGATGATTTAATGAAACTGCTATGAAACTAAAGTGAATGTAATTTCATTAATGAATAGGCCTACAGTTCGATGCCACACACTGTTGGAGACAATTACTTCTACTGAAAATGAATGTAAAATGCTTGTTTATCTTAATGTTTATCGAATATTCTACATTTCTGAAGGTCATTCTAAAGGTTCTAAATCATTTCAGAGAGCTTTAGCTTATTACAATATTTCGAAACAAATACGTTTTTATCGTATCATCTGTGTACATCATGTAAGTATTTGCATCTGCACTGCCTTTATTTTTTTACATTAAGACTTATTTAAAAACAGGCTTCAGTTTCTTAGTGCAAACTTCAATTTGTTTCCTTTTTCCCACTCGAGCGTCTCTAAATGTACATAATCGCAAACGACTGTGATTAGTCCATTCAAATAAGCGCTGAGAAAAGTAACAGGCACCACATGATAACGTCTGCCGTATTCTTGAGAAATACAGATGAATACTGACACAAACAAACTTAAATAGTCTCTTAAAAACTACGAAAACCAAAAGTATAACAATAATGCAATAAAATCTTTCAGAACGATCACAACTGCGCATTTAGAGTGCCTGTTTCAAGCTAAATGTCACTATTGTAGCCTACTCGTTCCTCCTTTATGTTCGCAGTGCGCATGACGTCATCACTGCATCTGCAAGCACGCGCACCCAAAAACGCGCAGTGATGCACATATAGCGTTTTATTTTCCTATTACAGCATGTCTTAAACATCGGCAGCCGGGATCCAAGCTCATAAGGTGAGTCTCACAATAATTCAATTCACTGTTGTTATTATTAGAAACAGATCATTTCCTGTATTTACTGTAGAGGTTGCATAATGACAGAATATAGCTAGTGTTTGTTTTGGTGCGACAGAGAATGAAATAGGGATGTGAGAATCACATACAGTTGAATATTGTGAGTGCTTTGTGTACTGTAGTTTAGATATTGTCAGTTAGGTTTGTTAATGGTAATATGTTCCTATAGAAAAATGCACTTGAAAGATAAAGAAGAGGCCTGCATGTTCAGTGCACTGTATTATTTCTTATTTACAAGGTGCAATGCTAAACAGTAACATAATGACTAATTGTCTTCTATAAATTAGAACTGTTAAACTATCAAACTTGACACTATTGACAGTTAGCTATAATGAAATAATGACATTTTTATTTCAGATACCTGACAAACATGGAGAAAGGGAACCAGTGAGTAGGCAGAAACCATCCATTTGCAGACATGCATTATAAAGTATCAGACTTAAGCAAATGAGATGCCTTCATAATTGGTTTGTCATGTCTTTGCAGAGGCATTTCTCATTTTGATCACTTTCTCCAAAGTCAAGAATCATCCGTGGTCAACAAGTTCCAGCAGAAATACTGGAAAACCAAGCAAACACTGATTAAAGTCACAGGAAAGCAGGAAGATGAGCATGTTGTTGCTTCCGATGCTGATCTGGACGCTAAACTGGAGGTGAGGAACGGACCCAGTCCAAACTTTCCTCTGGGTCTGAATGAATCAAATGGTCATGTGATGAATGTGGGTTTTCATACTTCCCTTCAGGTGTTTCATTCAGTACAGAGAACGTGCATGGAGCTCCTTAAGGTGATTGAACAGTATCAAAGGAGAATCAGCCGTAAGAAAACTGCAAATTCACACATATTTTAATATGAATTAATTAGTGCTGTCAAACGATTAATCATGATAAATCGCATCCAAAATAAAAGTTCTTGTTTACATAATATATGTGTGTGTACTGTGTATATTTATTATGTATATATAAATACAGACACATACAGTATATATTTTGAAAATATTCAAATGTATATAGTGTATATAATGTATATAGTTATATTCATATAAATTATATAGTATGTGGAAAATAATGTGTTTTTTTAACTTTAAACCGCATAAACACATTTCATTACACCAAATACACAAAATAATGTTCTTTTTAGCAGCATCATATGACCCCTTTAATATAATGCTCACATTTATAAATAGCTTGTGATAAAGAAGCTTAATTGTATTCAATGTGCACTTGTAGTGTGCTTCAAATCTTAAAAGTATATTTAAAAAAAATACTTGCAGATAATATAATATTGATGAAATAAAAGGTCACACTTTATTTTAAGGTCCAATTCTCGCTACTAACAAACCATTAACTACGACTTTTGCCTCAATAAACTCCTAATTAGCCGTTTATTAATAGTTAAGGTAGTTGTTAAATTGAGGTATTGGGTAGGATTAGGGATGTAGAATATGCTCATGCAGAATAGTGCTTTAAGCACTAATAAACAGCCAATATGTTAATAATAGGCATGCTAATAAGCAACTAGTTTATAGTGAGAACTGGTCCCTATGCTAAAGTGTTACCAAGGTTCACTTAAGTGTATTTCAAGAGCGTATAACATGTCATGTTACTTAACACACTAAAGTGCACTTTTAATACTTAATTACTACATTTTTAGGGTGCACTTAATATTAAGTTGTTGTTGTTTTTACTTTAAAGTACATTTTAAATAATTGTTTTAATAATCTTTTGTCGTGCTTTAAAAATGACACTTATTTTGATGTGCTTTGTTGAGTAATGTTGACTGTGTGTTGTTTGATATTACATTTAAAGTTAATATATTTTAAAGGTACTAAGTTGTCATTTAATCAATACAAATGTGAACTCACAAATATATTTAAATGCATAACATACACATTTCAATTGGTCACATGCAAGTGCCGCTATTATAAGTATAATAAGACAGCGGAAGTAATCATTAAAGATGTACTTATGTCTGGCTTAAGTGGGACAAAAAAGCACCCTTACGTTCAACAAATTGTTATTTTATAGTTATTTTACGAGTAGTTATTTTAAAAAATACTTGCAGATAATATAATAACGTTTTTTTTAGTTTTACTTTAAAGTATATTTTAAATTGTTGTTTTAATAATCTTTTGTAATACATAAAAAATGACACTTATTTTGATGTGCTAACGTACTAAAGCACATACTTGATTATAATTTGAACTGTAGTGTTATTTGATATTACATTTAGGCCCAAGGTTAATCTATTTAAATTTAAAGGGGTCATATGATGCGATTTCAATTTTTCCTTGTTTCAGAAAGGCGGGGCATAGAGGAGAAACAATAATGTACAGTATGTGGAAAATAATGTGTTTTTTAAACCTTAAACCGCATAAACACATTTCATTACACCAAATACACAAAATAATGTTCTTTTTAGCAGCATCATATGACCCCTTTAAACCATTAAATCCCAAATGGTTCTTCTCCACTACAAAACACCCATTCGGAACCTTTATTTTTAATAATGTGCCGTTCAAATGTTTAACACTTAAAGCTAGATTTCAGTAATGATTTATTATTCAAAGAAAACATACTGTATGTATGTGGCGAAATTCTGATGCTTTTTTTCAGTTTTGTCCCAGGAGGAGAATGAACTGGGTCGGTTCCTGCGTTCACAGGGCTCTCAGGACAAAAGTCGTGCTGGAAAGATCATGCAAGCTACTGGGAAAGCTCTCTGCTTCTCTTCACAGCAGAGGTGTCTTCAAGCTTCTAATCAAATGCGATTGGTTTGGGAATTCTTCTTCTTCGTTTGGTTCATTCGTTTCTCCCTGCAGGCTGGCGCTGCGAGGTCCGCTGGGCCGTCTGTACCAGGAGGTGGAGACGTTTCGTTACAGAGCCATTTCTGACACGTGGCTGACGGTGAACAGGATGGAGCAGTCACGGACCGAGTACGGAGGAGCTCTGCTCTGGATGAAGGACGTTTCTCAGGAGCTGGATCCCGACACACACAAGCAGATGGAGAAGTTCCGTAAGGTCAGTCTCACGCAGTGAAACCGTTTCTCCAGCAGAAGGAGTAA